AGTAGCCTCCGCGCCAACACCCGCAGCAGCTCCAGCTCCAGAAGTACCCGCAGGTCCAGCAGCTCCGGTACTCCCAGTACGAGCACCTCCGGGACCCGTGGCACCAGCTCCCTCAGCAGCAACAAAACCTCCAGTACCCGCAGCACCTCCAGCTCCAGCAGCTCGCCTCCAGCGCCGGGCAAACCACTCACGCAGCTCCTGTGGAGAGAGTGGCTCCCGGCGAGAAGAACCACTCGGAGAACCGTTAGGCACAGCACCAGCAGGCCCAGCTCCCTCAGGCTCCGCACCCCCAGGCTCAGCACCTCCAGGCGTAGCACCCCCAGGCTCAGCACCCCCAGGCTCAGCACCCCCAGTCGTAGCACCCCCAGGCTCAGCACCCCCAGACTCAGCACCCCCAGGCTCAGCACCCCCAGTCGTAGTACCCTCAGGCTGAGCACCCCCAGGCGTAGCACCCACACGCTCAGCACCCCCAGAGTCAGCACCCCCAGGCTCAGCACCCTCAGCAACACCAGAGTCACCAGCGACCTCGACAGGCTCAACAGCGTCTACCTGGGACACACCTGAAGGGGCACGACCCTGAGGGGGGAGGGGGTCTACCGGGGGGGGACCTGGCACAAGGAAGAGCGGTGGCGGGGGGAGGGACGGAGTGCGGTAGGGGAAGAGACGGTAGTAGGGGACCGACTCGTCGAACGTGACATCGTGGGAGGACAGAACACGGCGAGAGGTGGGGTGGTAGAACTGCCACCCTGGCGCGTCACGGGGGAAACCCAGGAAGACGCAAGGAGCAGCACGAGGGGACAGCTTGTCCGCAGACAAGTCGCGGACAAACGCCCGAGATCCCCAGACACGGAACGCAGACGCATCGCCAACCTTCCCCGTCCACAGCAAAGCTGGGGAGGTCTTCGGCATGGAGACCCTAGGCTGAAGGTTGATCTGATGCGCCGCGTACCGAACCGCAAACGGCCACAGAAAATGGGGGGCAGCCGCATGCATCATGGACGTATGGGCGACGTCCATGACCATGCCAATGCGGTGCTCAGCAATCCCATTTTGCTGTGGAGAGTCCGGAAGCGTGAAGGTCTGGCGGATGCCTCGTGCACGACAGTAGGCTCGCAGAAGGCCAGAGGAGAACTCTCCGCCTCTGTCAGAGTGCAGACGCAGAACAGGAAAGTCCGAGCCAAAGCTCCGCCTGAGCTGGAGACGAGCTGCGTGGATCCAGTCGATCAACACCTCAGTGACATCACCCTTGCTGCGCAAGGGGAAGACTGTGGTGTAACGCGAGTAGTCGTCAACCACCAGCAGGAAGTAGCGCTCGTGACCCTGTCCACGGATGCGGGCTGGGCCCCACACGTCCATGTGAAGCGTCTGCAGCGGGGCCTCTGTCGGAGGAAACTGGGAGGAGTGAGGGGTAGCCCGCTGCCGCCCCTCGACACAGTGGACGCAGGTAGGGCCAGGCCCCGGAGGAAGGGGAGGGAGGGACCGGGGAAGACCAGAGACAAGGACACGGGAGGCCATGCTTCGGAGACGAAGCAGGGAGGGGTGACCAAAGCGGTGGTGCCAGAGGAGAGTCTTGTGAGACAGGAGGCGACACGAGCAGGGGGCAGACTCAGGACCAGACCTGGACGCTGCAGCTAACACCTGACCCGACGCAGCTACCTGACCAGACGCAGGGACTGGAGGAGACGCAGTGGTCAGTTTGTACAGGCTCGACCCCGGCCGACGTGTAAACGTGGCCAGGTGTCGGCCTGTCTGAGCGTCCGTGCAGTGGGTCACCCGCTGACTCGCAGGAGTGAACTGGTGAACCCCCGCATCCTGTAGGTCAGCACCACTCACCAAGTTCGTAGAGAACGAGGGGAGGTAAAGACCAGACAGGGTGCCAGAGGGGGCCGCCGGACACGGGAGGACAGTGGAGAAGTGAGCAAGGACAGGACCCCCAGAGGGGTCTGCCAGGGAGACTGCAACTGGCCGACCAAGCGGCGTGAGTGTGGTGCGGTCTCGAAAGAAGGAGCGAGAAGCCCCCGAGTCAAGTGTGAAGGTGTGGGAGGCCGAAGCCTACGCAGTACCTGAGAGCCCAGACTCACCAGTACCGGAGGAAGCAGACGCACTAGCACCTAGAGCAGCAGCCTCGCTAGCACCAAGAGGAGCAGCCTCACCAGCACCTAGAGCAGCAGTCGCAATGCCCGGGTCGGGCGGGAAACACCGGTAACAGTCACCCTCCTCACTATTAGACACAGTATACATAGCAGCAAGAATAGCATCAAAGTCAAGGTCAAAGATAGCTACCCCTGCCCTAGACAGCTCGCCCCAGCGAGGGATCTCAGTGGCCTCAGGGAACTGGTGACGCCAAGCGTCCGTCAGGCGGCCAAAGCAGCGCTGGGTGGGGTGCGCACCCCCACACTGCTCACCCGCACGGTCGCCGGTGCGCAGGACGTAGGTGCACGGACCAGTACCCCCACCCCGCTGGCGTGCAGCGTACCACTCACGGAGCTGCTGAGGGGACAGGGTCTCCCGACTGCGCTGCTGCTGCTGGCGCTGACCACCACCGGAGCCACTCCTTTGCGAAGAGCCACGACCTCCTCCTCCTCCTCCTCCGCCACCGCCTCCTCCGCCTCCGCCACCTCCACCACCTCCGCTCCCACTGCCACCGCCGCCGCCGCCTCCGCCTCCACTGCCGCCACCGACACCTCCAACCCCGCCACCACTCCCACCACCACCACCCCCACCCCCTCCACTGCCTCCACTGCCGCCTCCACCGCCCCCGCTAGCTCCTCCAGCGCCCCTGCCCCCCTTGCCCTTGCCAGAGCGACGCTTCCCACTAGGGGTAGACGCCGCACCGACCGACTCCAGTCCAATGAGGTCGGCCGCAGCAGCAGAGGCAACAGAGGGCAAAAGAGGGGAGGGGGAACACCCCTCAAAGATGGGGGTGCGCGGGTCACCACGAGAGGCCCCTACAGCGACTATGCTCTTCTCCGCTGCCAGGAGGGCCTTCTCGAGGAGGTCAACAGTGAGAGTGGTGGGACAGACTGAGAGAAAGTGGTCCCTGATTACGCGAAGGGAGTCAGGGAGGCGGGTGACTATGTAGTAGAGAGTGATGTACATGGGGGGGGGGGGGTTCTTGGCGCAGAACTCAGCAGGAAGCGCAGCGCGGTAGCGAGTGTCACTAGTGCGGAGGTGCGTAATGAGGTCAGCGACTGTGGGAAAGGCAGCAAGGTCAGGGAAGAGGTACGGTAGCATGAGGCGGCTCAGTGCAGCAGTGGCAGGGGAGGAGTAGCGTGCAACTACAGCGTCGTACAAGGTCTGAGCACTCTTGTACTGGCTAAAGTGCGCACGCTCAGAGGTAGGCAGGTGGCGACGCACAGCAAGACGTGCAGCAGCATCGCGTGTGGCCCACTGTGAGCGAACAGTGGCGTCAGCATCAGCAGCGGGGGCAGGAGAGGCACCAGAAGTGAGGTCAAAGAGGGAGAGGCCGTCTGCCCTATCGCACCGTAAGAAAAGCTGCAGGTCATCTATCCAGACGTCAAAGTCAATGGCCCGACCCTCAGCGTCAAAAGCGAGGACACTAGGGGTAGCCATGACAGCAGTAGACTAGCAGCGCAAACAGTAGGGTAAGGGCAGTGCTGTGAAAGAGGCGCTGCTCTTACACAATATGCATGAGCTATAATGTTCTGACACAATGATCCTAACAACTGGTATCAGAGCTTGGAGAACGGGTGTGCACTACTCGTCGTGGAGAACGGGCGTGCACTACTCGTCGCTAAGGGCGTATTCTGGCGCTCGTGTCATCCCGTGTTTGTGTCTTCCGAGATTGTGGGATGACACGAGCTGCAATACAACAGCTCGAGTCAACGACTCGACCTGACGCGCGATTTGGGGGGTCACATTTTGCGAGAGAAACCCTAACTCGCCCAGTTCGCCGATCATACCATTGGTCAGCCAACAAGGCTGGCCATGAGATGTGAATATTGCGCCCGACAGTGCAAACGGTCGCACAAGAGCACATTGACTGACAAACGTCAATGTCGGAAATTTGGGCGCGTCAATTTTCCACATCGTTTTCTCCCGCCACTGCTGAATTCTTGCACTCTCTTCCTAGTAAACAAACACCTCACAAGGTGGTCGCTCAGATTTTGTGTTGCTTCTCGACCTTTCTACCTGCAGACATTCCCGCCACTGCTGCTCTTCTGCATTCTTTCTCATCACACAACCACTTCACATTTGTGGCGGATCTGACGATTCAGGGATTCATGGCTCTAGAATTAGAAGAAACTCCCGCCACTACTGCACCACTGCTTTGTCCCATGTCTAGCGACCACGAAAAATGGCACGTATCTTGAGATCCGTTCGTTCTCCTAAACTTGAGCAGAGTTGTAGATCTCGCGAGGACTTCTCCTCCAGGCGAGCAGAAATGTAGATCGCGCCACGACACCAGCACCAAGACTACCATAAACACAACCGTCAAAAGCCATACCATCATATCACTCTCTCTACAACAGTCTCATCCACTCGTTGCTCAGTCTCCCTTTCCCACTCCTGCCAGTTTACCATGGCTCCTAAGCGTAGACTCAGCAAAGCTTCCAAGAAGGGTATGGCATCTGGCAGTGACGCTCCCGTGGTGGACCCTCCGTATGTTGCCTGGATGAAGAAGTGCCAGGCGGAAGGAGATCGGCGGGGACGCCTTCGCAGCGAGTGTGCTGAGGCTCGTGATGGGGAACCCTTCGGCGACCCGGACAATCAGCCAAGCAAGGCTCCGGCTGAGGACAATGAAGCCTCCTCGTCTTCTGATCCGGAGGAGTTCGACGCGTTTGAGAGTAGCGACAGCGAGGCGGATTCCGATGCTTCGCTCGACACACCAGAAAACGATTTCGATGGAGCCGACGAGGACAACGAAATCGCGGGCGAAGGACCTGCCTGCGGATGACATCGGAACCTCCGCCCAGAAGCGTGGAGGGGAGCGTCCTAAGAAGAAATGCAAGGTTTGGTCAGAACTCGAGATGACAGAGATGGCCGCCGCTCGTTGGTTCACGCGTGAAGATTTGAAGGCAATGCAAGGGAAACAGGGGGCACAGTATTGGAAGAAGCTCCGTAGGCACATCCGCAAGGCGAACAAGAATTGGGTTTGCAAATCGGAGGCCATGAAGCAGCAGTGGAAGCGGATGGAGCGCGAATTCAAGGAGATCAACGATGCTTTGAACGTGTCAGGCAACGCCAACATCGTCAGGCCGCCGTGGTTTACCTATGTGGAAGATCTGAGGGCGGGATCTGCTGCCGTTGACCCCCATGTTGTGGATGGCGGTGGCGCCGCCGAGGACCATGCTGATCCTAACGCGACCATGGAGCCTCCATCCACTGCGACAGCTACTCAGCAAGTGCCCGTGGTTCAAGGTGAGCTAGTAGGGGTAAGTTTCTATATCTGCACATGATACAACAATTTAGTTCGCTTTTGTCTCATGTTTTGTGCTTAAATGCTTCCTTGATGCATTCCAATATTGAAGATATCCTACATTCTCCAAGTACCATTAGTCGCTTTGACACTAATTCCATCAATCCCAAAACAGCAAAAGAACCATGCTAAGATTCGGACCATCTAAAATCCCATGCCTAAGGTTCCTCTGTGCTTGTCACCCTTTTACCTACAGCCCCACTCCCCCCTACTCAGGAGCAGAATCCGCAGCCGATTCGTAGCAAGCGCGTGGCAGAAAGTGCGACCATGACTGGGGCGAAGCTCATCGCGGACACCCTGAAGGCATGTAACCAGGAAGGCCTTGCTAAGCTGGACCAGATTACTGCTCTCATCATGAATGCTGTGGCGGCGGCTTCAGCGGCTCCAGAGGCGGCAACGGCAAATGTAGGACAGGCTGACCCTACCACTCCCACTGTGACCCTAGACCATGGTGATCCGACCAGCCTGGAAACCTGTAACACGGATTACACCTACACCCCAAGCTCGGAAGAGACCGCCGCTCCTACCGACATGGGTCCCACTAACGGCGAGGCCGCTGAGTTCCAGCAGTAGCAGCACGGTTGCGTCGCAGGTAAGCTCTCATAATCCACTTCCCGAAATACTTGCGGCGCCGCTGAAGCTCCTTTGCTGTTGCCCTCCTTAGCAACGGCCAGTGAAACCTACTCATCCCTCCCCTTGTCCACCAACCAGCCCCCCCCCCCCCCCCTTCCTGCATGCCACGTGCTAACTTCTTACTGCGCAGGCGCAACTGCATCATCTTCTGCACCATATTATGGAGTATGATGATGCAACCTGTTCCTGCACAAACCCTCCAGAGACGGCAGTCGTGTCTTCGCGCAAACAATCGCCAACGCCCCTTAAGGGCCCCAATGCATCTCTCCACCGGCATCCTCGTAGCAGATTGAACGTAGTTGAACAGTTGCTCCCATCTCTTGAACAGTCGTCGCCTAGGAGCATGTAGGGGGGTGAGGCAGTATGCTCGTAGCGGATAGGCAGCATCTCCAACCAATTGGTACTCCTGTATGTCTCCTTTCTCTAGTTGATCATACAGCTTGCATTTCATAAACACTCTGTAATCGTGAGCTGCGCCCGGATAGCCGACCATATAATCCCATATGACACCTTTAGCGTCACAGGTCACCTGAAGTTGGACTGAATAGTGTGACTTCCTGTTGTAGTATTTAGTGCGATGATTCTCCATTCCCCGCACTTGGATATGAGTGCCGTCCACCGCTCCAACCACGTTGGGCACACCTTTAATGTTCCGGAACTCCTCTGCCATCACCGGTAGCTCCTCTGGCGTGAGGAAACATACCCGCTCGGATTTGAAATGGCGTGGGAAGTGAATGAGGAAGGTGTCCACCAATCTATGGCACATTGTTTTCGACACACACAAAAAAATGGACATGTCAGAGTAGGATAATGCTGACGCGAAGTACTTAATAGGGATTAGGATGCACAAGCGTAGGGGGACATTGTGCTGACGAACAAAAAGAGCATAAACCGCCTCCATTCTCCCTTCAATCATGAGGGGAATGTTCTTGTTGATTCGGAATATGTCTTGAAATTCCGCATCTGACATGATGTTGATGTCGGAGATCCATTCTGCCATGCGGTCCTGACGCCGGCGTTTGCGAAGGCGGAGCCTCTCAATGCGACGGTCAGCAGTTTCGTCGTCGCCTGCACATTCTTCCTCCACCAGTGACAGCCATGACTGAGCTGCAGCTGCTGCTGCAGGCATGAAACTGTCATAGTAATAAGTGTGCTAGAGCTGAATAACACAGGCTAGGATGGTTAGATGCTGAGGAGATAGCATTTTGACAAGAAGGAATAACTTCTGAAGTCTATGTTTTGGTACTACTTGCTAGACTATTTTTATAGCTAGCATCCAAACTGGCTTAAAAGGTGGAAGTTTTCCACCGAGAGAATCAAGATTCTAGACTTGCAAGGTGTGGCTTGGTTGTGTAGGCTATTCGTGCATGAGGGGCTGCGTTTCGAGTGCACGATCTGACGGCCAAATTGGTCGCGATGTCGACTCGGTCGCACGTGCGATGAACAATGTTCTCTGCTGGGGCGAACGTGGTTTCGCGCAGCTGCCGTGTGATTTTTGTGACACGCCGAATCGGATGACCAGAAGTCGAGTCGGAAAACCCGCGGTTCGGAAAAAACAATCGGGATGACACGAAGCTCGGATGACACGAGCTCAGGAATACGCCCTAAGTGGAAGAAGAAGGGCAACTTCAAGCATACGCCATGGGGGACGAGGCGAGTTCGGGTTCCAACGTGAGTATTAGAGACCCGCAAATGAAGGCTCTTCTCGAGGCACTTGCAAGTGTCCGCGTGGTGACGAAATCGACGATCGGGCTCAGTGAAGCCCAGCGCTTCAACGGAAGCAACTACTGTCAGAACATTATAGCTTACTTATTTGTGTAGGCTATAGTGGGGTATCCCATAGGGGGTACAACCCAATTAGGGTTTCATATTTGTACTCACTTCATTCATAGTTCATTCATTCTCGTTCACTTCTTCTCATGGTATCGAGCAGGTTCCCCTGTGGGACCTGTGCTTAGGGCCCACCATCTCGAAACGTCTTTTTTTTTTCTGCCCTAGCCGCTAGCGCACCGCCCGCCCTCGAACGTGAGCGCCGCCCCTAGCGCCCTAGCGCCCGTCCGCGGCCTGCTCTAGCGCTAGCCGCCCGACGCGCCGCCCACAGCGCTGCCCGACGCGCTGCCCTAGCGCCGCCCTAGCGCCGCTCGACGCGCCAGCCTAGCGCCGCCCGACGCGCCGCCCAACGCGCCGCCCTAGCGCAGCCCGTCGCACTGCCCGTGCAGCCGCCCTAGCGCCGCCCGTCGCGCTGCCCAACGCGCCGCCTGTCGCGCTGCCCGCTGCCCGCCCTAACGCCGCCCGTCGCACTGCCCAACGCGCCGCCCACGCGCCGCCCTAGCGCCGCCCGACGAGCAGCCCGTGCAGCCGCCCGTGTGCCCGCCCGTGCACCCGCCCGTGTACCCGCCCGTGCACCTGCCCGTAAACCTATCCGTGCGGCCGCCCGTGCACCCGCCCGTGCACCTACCCGTGCGGCCGCCAGTGCAGCCGCCCGTGAGCAGCCTGCGAGCCGCCCCAGCAGCCCGTGCAGCCGCCCCAGTCGCCCGTGAGCCGCCTCGGCTGCCCGTGCAGCCGCCCGTGAGCCGCCCGCTCACCGCTCCAGCCGCCCGCTCGCCGCTCCAGCCGCCCGTGCAGCTGTCCACGAGCCGCACCAGCCGCCCGTGCTGCCGCCTGTGAGCCGCCCGCGAGCCGCCCGCGAGCCGCCTGCGAGACGCCCACGCCGCCCGAGCCGCCCGAGCCGCCCACGCCGCCCGAGCCGCCCGAACCGCTCGAGCCGCCCGAGCCGCCCTAGCCGCCCGAGCCGCCCGAGGGGCCGATCTTCTGCTCCTGTGGGGCTCCTGGGCCGGCGCAGCTGCTGTGCTGCCGTGTTGCTGTGTCGTTCTGCTACCCGACTCTTCCTGCCCGGTGAGACTGTCAGCTGCTACAATGGCCACCCCCAGTGTCCTGACTTTTGACGCTGAGGGTCGCGCCATTAACTTAGCTGTCTGGATTGAGGACCTGCAGCTGTACTTACTGTGCGATGCGATCGATGAGGTTTCTCTCTTTGACTTTGTCTCTGGCGCTGTCCCTGCCCCTCCTGCTGATGCTGACCCCACTGTTCGCTCCAAGTGGGCCACACGCGATGTTGCTGCACGTCTTGCTGTGCGTCGCCACCTCCCTTCCTCCGAGCGTGCACACTTTAGTCAGTGCAAGACCGCTCAGGCCTTGTACGACGCTGTAGTTGCGCGCTACTCCTCCCCTTCCACTGCTACACTGAGCCGCCTCATGCTACCGTACCTCTTCCCTGACCTTGCTGCCTTTCCCACAGTCACTGACCTCTTTACCCACCTTCGCGCTAGTGACACTCGCTACCGAGCTGCGCTTCCTGCTGCCTTCCTCGCTGAAAACCCCCCTCCCATGTACATCACCCTCTACTTTCTAGTCACCCGTCTCCCTGAGTCCCTTCGTGCTGTTAGGGACCAGTTTCTCTCTGTCTGACCCACCACCCTCACTGTCGACCTCCTCGAGAAGTCCCTACTAGCGGCCGAGAAGAGCATAGTCGCTGTAGGGGCCTCTCGTGGTGACCCGCGCACCCCCATCTTTGAGGGGTGTTCTCCTTCCCCCCTGCTACCCTCTGTTGCCTCTGCTGCTGCGGCCGACCTCGTTGGTTTAGAGTCGGTCGGTGCGGCGTCTGCCCCCAGCGGTAGGCGCCGCTCTGGCAGGAGCAAGGGGGGCAAGGGAGCGGGTGGAGCTAGCGGGGGCGGTGGCGGAGGAGGTGGGGGCGGCGGGGGGAGTGGGGGTGGCGGTGGGGGTGGAGGCGGGGGTGGAGGTCCTGGTGGCGGCGGTGGAGGCGGAGGTGGCGGCGGAGGTGGTGGCGGAGGAGGCAGTGGGAGCGGCGGGGGCGAGGGTGGCGGTGGCGGCGGTGGCGGCGGAGGCGGGGGTGGCGGTGGTGGAGGTGGTCGGAGTGGCTCGTCCCAGAGGAGCGGCACTGGGGGTGGTCAGCGCCAGCAGCAGCAGCAGCAGCAGCAGCAGCAGCAGCAGCGCTCTCGCGACGTCCCCGCCCCTCAGCAGCTCCGTGAGTGGTACTCGCAGCGTCAGCGTGGTGGGGCGTTCGGTCCCTGCACCTACGTCCTTCGCACCGGCGACCGCGCGGGTGAGCAGTGTGGGGGCACCCACACCGCTCGCCGCTGCTTTGCCCGCCTGACCGACGCTTGGCGCCAGCAGTTTCCGGAGGCCTCTAAGATCCCCCGCTGGGGAGAGCTGTCTAGGGCTGGTGTAGCTGTGTTTGATCTTGACTTTGATGCTATCCTTGCTGCCATGTATGCTGTGAGTGTTAGTGATGATGGTGACTGTTACCGGTGCTTTCCGCCCGACCCGGGCATTGGTACTGCTGTGTCAGGTGCCAGTGAGGCTGCTGCTCTAGGTGCCAGTGCGTCTGTGCTCTCAGGTGCTAGTGAGTCTGCCCTCTCAGGTACTGTGTCGGCTTCTGCCTCCCACACCTTCACCCTTGACTCTGGGGCGTCTCGCTCCTTCTTTCGGGACCGCACCACTCTCACGCCGCTTAGTCGGCCTGTTGCGGTGTCCCTGGCTGACCCCTCTGGGGGTCCTGTCCTGTCTCGTTTCTCCACAGTCCTCCCGTGTCCAGCGGCTCCCTCTGGCACCCTGACTGGTCTTTACCTCCCCTCGTTCTCTACGAACCTGGTGAGTGGTGCTGACCTACAGGATGTGGGGGTCCACCAGTTCACTCCTGCTCGTCAGCGGGTGACACACTGCACAGAGGCGAGCACAGGTCGCCACCTGGCTACGTTTAGACGTCAGCCAGGGTCGAGCCTGTACACACTGACCACTGCTTCTCCTCCCGGTGCTGAGTCTGGTAGAGTCCCTTCGTCTGGTCAGGTGTTTGCTGCAGCGTCCAGGTCTGGTCCTGAGTCTGCCCCCTGTTCGTGTCGCCGTCTGTCTCACGAGACTCT